CAAAAAAAAAATTATAAAAATAGAATCACTGATCGTAATTTATGCACTGAATTTAAGACAATTTTTTTTACATTAAGATTGAAAAATAAATTTTGCATACACTACATAATAATTAAAATTTATGAACATCTTATCATTAAATTTTCTAATGAATTTTGCTCTAAAGAGGACTTTTCAATTTGAACTGACACTAATGTAAAAAAAAGATGATTACTAATCTGAATTTAAAAACAAGCAAAATTCAGACCCTTTTGAGACTTAATTTAAAAAAGCTTAAATTCAGTACATTCAATTTTTTGACAAAAAAAAAAAAATTGCTTAGAAAGTCAACAAAGGACTTCTTAAAAATATTAGAACAAAAATAAGGCTATTTCTCCCTTGAAATAAGAACTTTCTTTTACCAATATTAACACCCCAAAAAATCTTATATTAATAAAAAAAAATTAAATTTGTCACGAAAAAAAATGTGTTGCACTCTAAAGTAAGCTGCAACGCTCTTATTCTAATATCAATTTTGATTAAATTAATTGAGACTAATTAATGAAATAATTAATAATAAATGAAATTGAATTAAAATAAAAGAGCTTTTTTTAAACCAACAGAATTTTGTTTCTAAGAACAATTTTCACAGAATATCAACAAATGTTGCCACTTAAAATAAGACTCATTTCTTCATTAAAATAAAATTTTCCCTTTTTTCAATTCTTTTTCATTAGACGTATATTTAGCTCACAATTATTCACAACCAGATGGAGAACGAATTAATAAAAGCAAAAAATTATCACTATAAAAAACGACAGCCGACAGAAATTTATCAAATCATAAAATATTGAATGAACAGAAGAAGCATTGATTTTCAAAATAGATCATTAATATATATTTAATCGCAGAAAGACAATAATACCTATTGTATTAAAAAATAATATTTCTCATTATGATGAGAATGTAAAAAATATTAAAATCATGTCACAGAAAAATATGACATTTCTTCACGAGAATTTGACGTATATTGATATATACATATATATATAAATATCGTTAGTGTAGGAAAAGGGTGGAGTTTTGACGATTCAATTTGCTCCTCTCGGCGCGAGATTCAAGGGCCCCACGTTGGGTATACTTTACGGTGGACACGCAACGGTATTTTGAAAATTAGCTCGCGTTCGAAGCTGGTACGAAAGAGAACGGCGATATTCTCGGCAGCGATCGCGCACGGGGTAAAGTGGTTTTGTTGCTGAGGCGGGGGAAAAAAAAGAAAAAAAAAAAAAAAATAGAGAGAGAGATGGTGGGATGCCCCCGACAACCAGAAGGGAGAAAGAAACGAAAGAAGTTTTGAAAAGGGACTAACGACCGGCAGTTAACGGCGGCTCTGAAATTGCTGGTTGCCCGCTGCATCTTCCACGGCCTGGCTTGGCCAAGAATTATTAAACTGTAGTTTAGTTTAAATTAAGTTATTACCCCAAGCCGGCTCGTTTTGTTTTTCCTCTTTCACCACCACTATCTTCTGTTTCTCTCTTTTTTCTCCCCCTCCTTCCAGTGTGTTATTCTTACTCTCCTCATATTTCATCTCTCATAAAGTTTTTCCTTCCAAATTTTTCAAAAAAAAAAAAAAAAAACCTGATATAATAAAACTAAATGATAAATTTTCCTTCCTTCTTCATCGTCATAATCATTATTTTACGATTAGCTATAACAACTCGCGATGACAAAAAAATCGAAATGAGATTCTAGGATATATTCACGTCACACTTTTTTTTTTCTCCTCGCTTCTTCTTTCTTTTCCTTTTTTTTTCTTTTTTATTTCCAAATGGTAGAGGTTTGAAAATAATATACCTCGAGGATTTTCATTGGGGTATATGCCGACTCTATTAGAGACAGGACTCGTAAAACATTCTGACAGTTTATCATGATCGAGTATAGAGTGAGGATGTAATTAACATTTCTCAAAAGGTAGAGAGGCATATTCTCGCCTATTACCAACTGTTTTATGCGGAAAGTCCCTGTAAATCATATATATACATTCATATCCAATATAGGATTAGGTTTAATTAAATGTTTGTGTATATGTCGTTTATTAATTAACGGATAATTTTTTAATCGCGGAAAAACTGAATATCATAATTTTACATGTTTAGAAAATTAAGTTATACTGTAAAAGTGCTTTTTAGTATTATTATTATTATTATTTTATTTCATGCGTGTTAGAACAGAATAATATTCTACAAAAGCAGAATTCTCGGTGAACACATGTTAGAAGCGAGGAAAGTGCTTTAAAATGGTCACTTGACTAATCTCCTATGGCACAAGTTTAATGATCACAAATTAAAAAGTTTAACGTTCATGTAAACTGAGAAAATCCTCTAGTGCTATACGCGTTACATTCTCGCGACGGTAATTACGTAATCAGGTAGCTTTTTTTTAATGATTTAATTCAATCCTATATTATCTCCAAGATTATGATTAATAATCTCAATTTTTAACTATAATTAAATCTATATTTACAATCATTAATACTACACTGTAAAAAGTAAATCGTATTTTAAGATGAATCTTAAATTCAGCAGTACCTAGACATAATCTATTTAAATTCAAATTGCATGTAAATTCATTGTTAAGATTCAGCAAAGGCTGTCTTAAAAATGTTGCCTCTTAAAATAAGACCTCTTTTCGGCCTTAAAATAAGACTTTCTTTTTACAGTGTAATAAACAAATATTATAAAATAAAAATATTTTAAAATATTAAAATATATTTTAATATATTATAAAAATATTAAATCTTAATAATATTAAAAAAAAAATCTAAACTATATAAAATAAAATAAAAATAAAAATTACTCAATAAATTATGTTACATAAATGATAAATAAAAAATTTTTTTAATTATAAAACTGATGTTACCAACAGTTTTAATTAAGTTAGTTTCAGTCTGTCGAAAAAGTTTATTGCAATCCATTAGACAAGTTCATTTTCCATGTTCCCATGTCAAGATCATTTAAATCTTTCAGCCAAATTGAATTTTATGCAATATAACAAAAAATAAATATAGAGAAAATAATATTTATCAACAAAAAATTTTGAAAATATTTAAAAACTGAATTTATTAAATGAAATAGAATTAAGTAAAAAAATTCAAATTAACAGAAATGTAGAAAAATAAAAATTAATTTGAAAAGAACAGTAAAATTAAATTATAAAGTAAAAAGAAATCGGACAAATTGAATACTTTCTCGCATTTATAAAATTAAAAATTAATTTAAAATAGAAAACAGTGAGAAATAATCGAAAATTTAAAAACGGAAAAATTATAAACAATGGAAAATTAAAAAAAAAACAATAAAGAATTAATAATATAGAAAACGCGGCACAAAAATTAAAGTAGTTTCTTTATATGTATTATTGCATTTGAAGATAGTAAACTATTTTAAAGTTTAAATAGGCGAATATATGCGCGCAACAAAGCTTATCGTTGTTAGACTTCTAACAAGAAGGCATTTTTCAATTTAAGCACAAATAACTAGTTTCTAATTTTAAATGCTATCATACTACTATACTAAGGTGATAATGATAGTTCCCGAGTGGTGTCCTGTTACAATTAATTGCTTCGTGCGTAATTATTTGATTGTATCTAAAAATTTTAAGCAAACTATATATATATATATTTTTTTAGTATATATATATATATATATATATATTTCTACACTGGATGCATCCGAGCGATCCCTTTATTACTCTAATGAATATGTATTCAATATTGTAACCGAATAATAGTTTCTACAATGTTTTTTTTTTTAAATTATCAAAAAATCACTTTCCTCCATTTTGCACTCTAATTACATCCTTTTTGAATTTTTTTCACTTACTCTTATTTATTAAAAAAAATTGCGTTAATTTCCTCATGATAATAATTTTATTTATCATAATAAATACAAAATTATATATAAAAATCTTTAAGATTACGATGTAGTACTATTTTTTAATTAACAATTAATTATTAATTTACTTAATAAATCAATAATTTAATAAATAAATTAATATTTAACAAAAGAAATTGACTCATAATTTTTATTTAATTGTTAATAAATATCAATTACTATTTAATAATTAATTGAATAGAAATTGAATTAATCAATTATGCACAAGTAATTGATTACAACAGTGTAAAAAATTATGAATTATTATCATCAGAAAGCTAATGAATTTGCAATAATTTAGTTTCGCTGATGAACAATGATAATTTACAAAATAAAAAAGAATGATGATAAAATTATTAAAGATGGTAGAATTAAATTATAGAGTCATTAAAAAACATTATCTACAATTGATTAACAATTAAAAAAATACAATTCGTCTTTTTTGCTATACAACTAATGGATTTTCCCACCTCTATAGAATATATGACAACATTATGAAATCTCTTGAGATTTTTCAAAATCATTTGATACGCCAGTTTAACAAAAATCGAATAGTATATATTTAAGAGGTATTCTTGCGTGTGATTTCACACAACGATATATATAAACAAGAATTAAGGGTGGCGAATGGGATCACGTAAAAAACAGATTTCCACCCTCGGTTGTGCTTTCTGGGCGAAACGTGATTCCAGCCGTCGGAAGAAAGGGCGGAGAGAGAACGAGACTGCTCTATGTAAGCGATCCCATGGGGATGGTAAGAACGATCTTATGATTGACCGTGTTACAGAATTCCCATTGGGCCATTTCCCAGACATTGTTCTCGGATATTTCGGAAAACGATAGTGCGACATTCAAACCAAACAAAACGACCACATCTTCAAGTCGTTAAGCTAACTTCCAAAACACTCTCTCTCTCTCTCTCTCTCTCTCTCTCTCTCTAACTTTATAAACGATATCCTTATAGAAATTTCTACTCTCAAAAATATGAAAATTATCAATTATTAAAATAAATGATTTTTGTAATTGTAAATTTCCTCTAATCAGCAAATAATGATAAAAGTAATATATGTCGCAATTATATATGTTTACCTTTCTTGTCATCGTCATCATCAACATGATCAGCTGAATGATGAAGATGATGAGCAGCGGGATGATGAGCGGCAATTGCAGGTACAAGGGGATGATTTCCCAGCGCGGGATGAGTATGATGGGGATGATGATGATTCAAAAAACGTGCAGCAGCAACGGCAGCAGCTTGATGCTGCATTGTTTGTTGGACCTGACTTTGTACCTGTCCAAGAACCTGATGATGAGGTGGCCATCCTGCAAGATGAAATGGAAAAACAGGTGTCGCCCTCTGGAATAATCTCGCCGGTCCAAGAAGTGAGCCACCAGAGGCAGCAGAACCACCACCAGGAGGCGGTGGAAATGACAAACCACCTCCTGGTTCAAGGACCATATTGGGAATCAATTTGATTATTTTCGTCTCCGTTACGGAGATCTTTTATTCACCGTAACAATTATCATTGACGTGTAATTCTCACCGTCGCTAAATATTCAAAACATATATCCTTTATGATAATCAATCCTCAAAAATTAAGCAAGCCGTCGGATCACTATTTTTTTAGAAATTCTTCAGATAATTTAAAAAAAAGAATTAGAAAAAAGTTTTCTAAAAACGATAAAATTGTCACTACTCTTCAAAAGTCAAGGATGTACAAGACAGAGGTCTTCTCTGTCATATGATTTTTCCACGTGAGTAGTCGACTGTCAACTATATTCATCTCTTCAACGATTGTCGTGACAACTCTCTTAAAACACTTTGCAGTCATTATTGTCAGCTGACAAACCTGCACTCAATCAAGACCTTTAATAGTCCTGTCAGAGATGTCACATGTTTCAATTCACCTTTTTTTTTTCGTTTTTTGCACAAACACACTGTTTTTTATATCCGGCTTAGCGAGTAAGAAAAAAAAACAGCACAGGGTTATTACGAGACACTGACCGTTTCCTGTTTAATCAGTTTAGTGATAATGTCGCGTGACACAAACAAATTTTATGCATATATATATATATATATATAACACCAGGAAGCCGGCTTGTAGTGTGGAAACACTACGGCGCGAGCCAACGGCACAGCACTATCTGCCTCGAGACTCAGACCAAAGGCTCCCCTCGGTCCACGATACCTTAAACCAGTTTCTGTTTCCACCCAACTGAAAGCCGATTGGTTTACGTTGCTGCGGGTACCGGGGATCCATGCTATCGCTGACGAATCATGAACCAAGGATTTCAACTCTGACTCCGCCTAATCGTGTACAACTTTTTTATACTAGAATTGAATTGACGCCCCCGTCTTCCGCGAAGCGCGATTCTGGTGGGGATAAATCAATTGGCAGCTACCCTACAACCGGCCGCAAGATGGCTCCTCCCTATATACTTCTATACCACCACCACTACTCACATGTCTGAAAAACTACCCCTCATTTCATTTCACCCTGTCTATCTTCAAAAAACCATTTCAAATGCTCATGTTTTCATTCGAATTGATGATGAGAATGATCAAGATCATGACAATCTTTTGCCATGGCCTTAAATCTTTTTCGAAACTTTTTCAAAAGATATTTAGATATATATATATATTCTCTGTTCTTATCAAAACCAATTGCTAGTCTTATTTTCTTTCCCTAAAAAGAATCCTGAGTCTCTTCATTTGATTAAATTGATAAGGACAATCAATCTATTCCTTCTGTATATATATAGGTATAATTTACGAATAAGTAGATGAATCAATACCAAGTTGAAAATTGTTAAATTTGTTTTTCTTATAAGAGTTTTTTTTATTGTATTTTTATCAAAATGTTTATGACTTTGATTATATCAGATATTTAAGATCTTTATTGTGATTTATTAAGGAAAAAAATGGATAATAATTGTAGTTATATAGGTTTAAAAAACAGTCATTTTAAGTCTGTTGTATCTAGAATGTCAAATAATATATAGTTATTTTAACTCTTTAGAGGAGTACAACTGAGATTATAACGAATTCGAAAAGTTAAATGCTACACGCAGTAAAAAAATTAGGGAGTTAACGGTACTGGGAGTTAAATTTTTCGAGTTAAAAATCACCTCAAAAAGGGAGTTAATAATTAAATTAACTCGTAAAGTATTAACTCCCTTGGTTTCAACTCCAAAAGGGTGGGACTTTTCTATAGCATCTCCTAGGGAGTTAAAATTAAACTCCTTTTTTTTACAGTGTATACACTGTAATTTGGATAATTAATGAAAACCGGAGTTGGGAGTAAAATTTTTGTAGTTAAAAATCAACTCCAAAAGTGAGTTAGCATCAAATTAACTCTTTTAGCGTTAACTCCCTTAACATAAACTCCTTTTGCTTTAACTCCAAAAGCGTGAAACTTTTATGGAGTCACGTTAGGAGTTGTCAAATCCAACTCCCTTTTTTTTACAGAGTTTACGGAAGTTGGGAGTGAAATTTTAGAAGTTAAAAATCCACTCCAATTAATAATAATACTGCCAAATTTTTTTTCAGAAGTGTAAAAAATAAGAGACGTTATGGGAGTTAAATTTTAGGAGTTAAAAATCTAAAAAATAATACCTAGCATTTTTTTCAGAAGTATATTAAAAAAAATTCAGGAGTATAAAAAATACACTACTGTAAAATTTTTCGAATTAAAAATCAACTCATAAAGGGAGTTAATAATTAAATTAACACCTTAAATCTAACTCTCTATAGGCATATAATAAATTAACTCGTAAAGCATTAACTCCCTTTGCTTCAACTCTAAAAGGGTAGGACTTTAAAAGCATCCCCTAGGGAGTTGAAAACTCCAACTCCTTTTTTTTACAGTGTAAGAGAAGTTGGGAGTGAAATTTTAGAAGTTAAAAATCCACTCCAATTAATAATAATACAGCCAAATTTTTTTCAGAAGTATAAAAAATAAGAGAAGTTGGGAGTTAAATTTTAAGAGTTAAAAATTTACTTCAAAAAAATAATACCTAATAGCATTTTTTTCAGAAGTATATTAAAAAAAATTCAGGAATATAAAAAATACACTGTAAAATTTTTCGAATTAAAAATCAACTCATAAAGGGAGTTAATAATTAAATTAACACCTTAAATCTAACACCCTAGGCATATAATAAATTAACTCGTAAAACATTAACTCCCTTTGCTTCAACTCTAAAAGGGTAGGACTTTTAGAGCATCCCCTAAGAAGTTGAAAATTCCAACTCCTTTTTTGTTGGGAGTGAAATTTTAGAAGTTAAAACCCCACTTCAAAAGTTAATACTGGAATTTTTTTCAAAAATATTTTTAAAAAAATTCAGGAATATAAAAAATAAGGGAAGTAGAGAGTGAAAGTTTAGGAGTTAAAACTCCACTCCAAAAGTTAACACACTGTCAAAAAAAGAAGTTGAATTATTTCAACTCCCTAGGGGATGCTATAAAAGTACCACCCTTTTGGAGTTGAAGCGAAAGGAGTTATAATGCTTTACGAGTTAATTTTATGCTTATAGGGAGTTGGTTTTAAGGAGAGTTAGTTTAATTATTAACTCCCTTTTTGAGTTGATTTTTAACTCTAAAAATTTAACTCCCAACTCCCGGTGCTGTTAACTACCTAATTTATTTACAGTGTACTATGAATTTTTTTCAGAATCTTTAAAAAATTAATCACAGTATAAATATTAAGAGAAGTTGGGAGTGGATTTTTAGGAGTTAAAAATTGACTCCAAAAGTTAATACTGAAAATTTTTTTAGAATTATTAAAAAATCCAGAAGTATAAAAAAAAAGAATTATAAATCATATTAGTTACATATATTTCATTATTTGGTATCAACTCCTTTGAGAGTTAAATAAAGGGTTTTAATTTAAAGGGTTTAAAAATTTAACTTATTTCTATATGTTTTTACTTCCTTTATTCATTAATTTTGAAATAATTATAAGATTCAACCAACTAATTCGCTGGAATATTCTAAATAATTGACGAATATATTCTTTTAGTAAATTTGGATTACATTTCAAAAACATCTTAAAAATATATATGCCTAAAAGAATTTTTTTTTAATTTAGTATATTCTTATTTTAAAAACAGTATAATATATGAATTTAAAAATAAATTGCATTAAAATAACCCAAAAATAGATTCCAAATTTTAGAATAAATTATTTTGCATTGAATAAGACGTCAATAAAACACTATTTATTTATCGACGAAGAAAACTGAAATTATTCTTTAGATCGAGCGAGCGCGCGCGCATTTATCAAAGAATCCTGAGTGATCTTAAGTGATCTTTTTTCACCTCTGCGAAGGATCTTTGCGAGCCACTATCTCTCACTTTAGCTAAGTAATGCATGTTATACCCCTCGAGGGGCGTTTTCTCCTCCGATTCTCCATCTCACTGACTTCCATCCAGGCAGGGGGCGTTATATACTCTTTTAATAAGACCAAAAGAACAAGGGAGTTGAGGGGGGAGGGAGGGAGTTTAAAGGCGTTAAGTAATTACGTCTCTATTCTCTTTCCTGCGAGAAGGAAATTACCTGCATTCGTGTTCTTGCCTCCCCGCTACTTATTTATTCTCAGGGTGGGAAAAATTAGGAAATTAAAATTAACCCCACCCACGTTCCTTTACCTTGAGAATTCACCCCTTCGATAACAAAAACCAGACGCTATATTCGCCTCCTGTTACACCCGGCCGGAACTTCCTTCTCAAATTTATATATATAGGAGGAGCCGACGGCCATTGCGTAACTTTTAGTTCCATTTCTTTCTAACTCATAAAACATAACACACCACCTTGTTAGCGATTACGGAGAAATTGAATTAATTCCTCTCAAAATTTGCCAACAGGAAATTTATATATTAAATTATATAATATCGAATTTTCGAAACTATATAAAATTTTATCAAGATACTAATAAAATATCAAGATATCAATTTATGTGTAAAACAAATAGAAACGAATAGAAATCGAATAAAAACAAAAGGAATGGAGAAAGCCTATGAAATTGATTTTAGATATTGTGATAAAATGTATATCTTGTTTGCCAATGTACACACGCAAGCACCTTGTTCGATCACTTTAAGAAAGTCGTAAAAAGATCGCAGCTAGCTAACTATATAGAGTGCGGGTACTTGGATATGGATTTGATATGCCAGACTCAATCTAACAGACTTTTTGGTTATATACAGCATAAAAAGATTAGATAGTCGTCACATGCCACTTTTCAGGCGCAGATGATGCGGGATCGTTAAGTAAAATTATGTATAAATATTTTGGATTATAAAAAGAAAAAATTATAATTATCCGACTGATTAGTAATTTATAAGCTTTTCCCATATATATTTGCACCAAAGTTAATTTCCTGTTCCCTGGAATTTAATATATATATACTCCTATTTTCTATACTCGATATACATTTTGTGCTTTTATAATTTTATAATTAAATAATATAATCATATAATAATTGTACATTAATTATAATTATATTATTATATTATATTATACTATTATATTATTAATAATTATGCTATAAAATTATATTACAGCAAGAATTTTTTCACGAGACAATTTTTGGAGAAGAAAATATTTTAAACGAGATTTTAGTTGAAATTTACTATGGATTATTTAAAATAAAAAGCGCATTAGAAAGGATGAGAAGAGGAGTGTATAAAAGAGAGTTTTGCGAGAGGATTACATACATTATATATATATATATATAGTGTTCCTTCTCTGCTTTTCACTACTTCTGTTCTTCTTTTCACGAAACTTATATCCTTGAGATTATTTCCCATTTCCGTCATGGTGCTCGTGTATCGTTATTTAAGTTTCATATTAAAGCATATATATACAGCTCGGGTCGCCACAGGATTTGATGTACGAGCTGCGCGTGCCCTGGTTCCTTCACTAGGCGAGTCTTTCTCGCCTAAATGTGAGATATCGCGGTCGATCAATTTTTCATAAACCTCTGCATCCTTTTTCTCCACTTGTCCCTTTCTCCATACCATTCGTCTCACTTTTTTTTCCTTATACAAAAACTTCATAACTATTTTTCTAGTAATTATTCTTATATTCTGCCATACAATATATGGTATAAGAGATGCGCACGATTATATATATATCTATATCCCAAAAAAATACAATTTTCATTTTAAAGAATTTTTA